AAATAACTTCGAAAAAAATTATAAGGATTGAGGACTTGATCTGTAATAAATGACCCATTTCATTAAGGGTAAAACTGACTTTTTAACAAAAATCTTAAAAAGCCACTATTCATAGGTCATTTTGCAAAATCTCCCCATTCACAAACACATCGAACACCCTCTGCCCAGCCTTATTCCCATTAACAGTAATCTCAGCAAAATGGAACCACAGCAAATAATCCAGCTTGGCATCCACAGGCAACTCATATTCCAGCGCCCGGCCACCATCCCCTAACGCAGTCAACGCGGTCTGATAAAGCTTTTCGGGAAAATAATTTGGACTTTTCCCGACGTTTACTACATTTTTATAGAAGAAATGGCTTTGATTGTCCCCCCAGTAGCAATGGCCACGGATCCTCCTCGGAAGTCAGCACCGGATTGCCAAGACTGGCCAAAAAAATCTGAACCCGAGCGCCCATTGATCCGACCCGGATGAAAACCTGCAGTAATTCACCAATATGTAATTGCTGGTATAGTCAAAAGGGTAAGCATTGGGGTCAATTTGGGTTAGTTCTAGGGACCCAACAACCGGAGAATCAGTGGCAATGCTGTAAAAACATATGTCTGCCGCGGAATCATTCAAGTAAAAGAAGAGGTCTGAGTAAGCAACGAAGCGAGAAACAGATTCGGGCCACGGGGAGCGCCAGGAAAAGACTAAAGTACCCTCAACGGAGAGGTCAAAAGAAGGTGAGTGAGACTTGCCATCGAAATTGTCATAAACAATGAACGTCCGAAGGAAGTGCCGGCCGACGCCAGCGGGTATGCTATAGCAATTCTTCTTGCCAGAGGAGATAGGAAAGTAGCGAAGAGTCTTCTCCTGTTGGTGCAGGAGCCAGGAAGTGAAGGGGCTCGGAGACTATGGATGTGGAGCCACCGGAGTAGTAGCGGTCGGAGACCCACGTAGTCATGGACGGAGCCAGACGTTTTGTACTGTGGGGTCAAAAATCAATGTTCTAAAACCGGCCGGTTCAATCGGGAACCAATCTCAAATCCGGTCCGGCCTTACATTAACTGGATGATAGTAAATCGGCCAAAGAATCGTAAACCTGAAAATCGGTCACGATATTTTCGGGTAATATTATTTATTTTTCCAAAAAATTTTCAACTATCTTGATGGGCTCACCTATTTTTTTCACTAGAAGGTCCAAATCAATTCTTTATTCAAGTGATGTTCTTTTAGCTCTTTTTTAAAGGAGACTCATCTTGGAATGTTTTAGTCAACTTCCAATGTGGGATACTAGCTTTCTAAAGGATACCCCTCTTCCAATCTTTTAGTGATCTTTCAATGTGGAATACTAGTCAATTGTCTATTCTAAGTGTTTACTAGTTTACTTTATTATTTTCATTAAAAATCATAGCCTCAACAAGATTACAATGACAAACAATATCGATTTAAACAAAGTAAATTATTTTTGACATATAAATTGTTAGTTTTTGATGTTATAAA